TTTCTAGCGGCTAACCCCTTTCTGTTAACCCCTTTCTGTTAACCCCTTTCTAACAGCGGCTAACTGTTTCTAACGGCTAGCGGCTGGTACCTGATCTTTTTCATTTATGTCATTGTAAAAAGGCCCTCGAAAATTTTTTTTTTAGAAAAAATGTGGATTTTTTACAATTTTGGGGGGGTCGTACGACCCTCACGACCCCCCCCCCCTGCATACACCCATGTGTGTAGCCCACGTTTACGTGGATAATAACGCAGGGAGCCAGTAGCTAGCCATGGGATGTGACGGTGTGACCTAGCTTGGGTAAAGCTGCAGCTGTTAGCAGGTAGTTAGCCTTGTAGCCTATGACGCTCGTGCTATTTTTGGCCTGGCGTCTGACGTCATCCTCCTCGCGCTCACATGACTCGTGACGTAAACGTACGTCCGGAACATTGATATCGAAACCGAGTTCGGAGACGCATTTCTAACTTCTTTGGTTTTATTTGCTCAAATTGTTGTGTCATTTCTCTACGATCATTATAAATTGTGTCTGATACGGTAAACGTTGATTTTGTCAACAAGGTAAGCAACATATTAAAGTATGATTCGTGTAATGGCTGCATTTATCAGGTAGTCTAGACTTGTATTAGTTGTAACTAGGCGTAGTACACTGTCTGAGTCGTGTCTGTAGCCTCAGTCTGTTCAGTACAGACTACAGTGTACTACTACTAGGTGCCTATTGTTGTATTGAAATTGTGTTACTTCTAAGTTCTATGTTGTCAGAGCGCCTATAGGCTGTATGAAAGGATTACTGTGTTATGAGTGATGTTGGTTGCTAGCCTTGCGCGTAATTCAGCGATCTATAATAGTATTAATACTTAATACGCAGTGGCTACGGGTACGGTAGCCGTCGGTCGTTGAGGCCCCTTTTTGGCGTTAGGGTTAGGGTTAGGGTTAGGATTAGGGTTAGGGTTAGGATTAGGGTTAGGTTTAGGGTTATGGTTAGGGTGAGGTTTAGGGTTAGGGTTAGGGTTCTAGCTCATCTAAACTCTCAAATCGTGAATTTATTTCCCAAGGCGTTATTTCGAAATCTGGCGCCACCGCCGCCATCTTTGTCTCGTTAAGTATGAAAGCGAATGGACTCCCGTACCCGTAGCCTCGAGACAAGATACGGCTACTGTACCCGTAGCCACTGCCTACTTAATAGTACACAGGCTTTCCGATTTGAAAAGTACAGGAGGACTACTAATGACTCCCCTAGAACACCATTGGGGGACTTTTCACGCTCCATAATCACACCCTTAAGAGGCATGATGGAGAGCTCCATTAAAAAATCACACCCTTAAGAGGCATGATGGAGAGCTCCACTAAAAATCACACCCTTAAAAGGTCTGCCATTGTTTTAAGATACGGCGAAGGGTGTATGAAAGTTGCATTCTCATTGGCTACTGAAACTAGAGTTGGGCTAGAATAGATACTCCAGTCAGGGCTCGCGATCCATTGCAACATTGACAACTCTATGGACAGGGAAAACTAGCCTCAAGGCCACGCGTGACGTGGCGGCTTTTGATGTACACGATCGATCGATCGCGTACTATATATACGGCCTGCGTAGCACGCGCAGCATACACACACACACACACTTGCAGCGTCAAATAAACGCACACACTGGCCAACGTCTGACAATCTCAAACAGTGAACTAAGCCGTGTCTATATTGTAAAGCAAACTATATTACAATGTTATTAAATGAAGGTACTGTTAGTAGGCTGTTGGACTGTAAAATCAAAATTTGTACATTCTAACCCCCCTAAAATTTTCTCTCAATGGATTTAGACGTTTCACAAAATCGACCCTGGGACTGTGAAATCCGCAGATTTCCGCGGATCCGCGGATGATTCTCATCCCTGTAAAATGGAGCGCTATTTCAACATAATACACAGACTTTTGGTGCGCGATTTCAACCACTTTTATGAGGCGCGATGATGCACGCACCATGGCACAATTTATGGTGCGCGGTGGAGCGCAAGCGCGATCGCGCCCCTTAAAAATGAAAGCCTGAGTACACAACAAGTCTGCAACGCAAGTGCCAGCCAGTAGGCCTAGAGTAGAGACTAAGAGAGTGCAAAATATCATGGTGGTTGTTAGGCAGAACTACTGACTACTGTACCGCCATAGGCGTTGTCACCTGCCGTTGTGCAGAACCCTGGATAGACTGAGTGCAGTGGAGGTACTTGTTTGGGCAAGGGTGGAGGGTTGATTTTTGTTAGTGCTTGATAGTACCGGTACGTAGTATAATTGTATATATAATCGTTTTCTTGACAGTTACAATAAACTACTGTATACGCCATGTTTTTCACATACAGATATTTTCGCGAATTCAGACTTGATGGACAATTTCGCGAGTGGTTAATTTCGCGGTCGGTGAATTATGAATTATTCGCATGTTTTTTTTTCGCGGTCGGGGACGCGTTTGCGAAAACCATCGCGAAATATACAGCGTATACAGTATTCTGCTAGGGCTATGTCAGCACGATTTTGCGCATCTGCAATGTTGGATTTTAATTGTTTTAATCATCACCTCTTGCGAATATTAACTGTCCTTTAACCACCAACCATATCACCAACGTACCCCAGTGACAGCCCTATTATAAACACTTCCACGGATCTATGATGAATGATGATAGAACATTATATGATGGCATGTGAAATCACAGGATACAGATCACGTGATTATATCGTCTGATAACCGTAAAATACTGTAGGAGCACGTGATGTGTGAGTATCATGATGTCAGACTGTTACATAAGTACTAAATACTAAATACATAAGTAAATAAATAATATCCTCGTTTCTTTTCTCCACAGGTAAACAACCCCCCAGCAGCTAAGATGTCGCGACTTTACCCCACGCTCGAGGACATGGCTGTCGACAAGATGCAGCAAGCCCAGATGCATGCTAACCAGGCATACCAGGAGCAGGCGGCCGCCCACGCTCAAGCCGCCCTGCAAGACGGCAGCGCCCAGGTGGTGCCCCCTGCTTATGGCACGGTGGCGACGGCGGCGCCCTCTGCGGTGCTCTACCCGTCGCTCGACGACTTCATGGGCCTCGTCTTCACCGATCCCGAGGTGCAGCGCAACCTGGTGGCGATCCCGCAGATGCAGCAGCAGGTCGCGGTTGCCACGGTGCCCGGCGCCGGGGGCATGGTGGCGCCGCTGAGCGGCGGGAGCGTCGGGCTGCAGCGCGCCGAGGTGACGCACGGCATCCGCGAGGTCGTGCTCTGCAAGGACGCGAAGGGTCTCGTCGGGCTTCGCGTGCGCGCCGTCAACAAGGGCGTGTTCGTCTCGCTCGTGCACGCCGGCACGCCCGCGGCGCTCGCCGGCCTCCGATTCGGCGACCAGATCCTGCAGCTGAACGGGCAGAACTGCGCCGGCTGGGACACCGACAAGGCGATGGGCGCGTTCAAGAAGGCCGGCGGCGAGCGCATCGCGCTGGCGGTGCGCGACCGGCCGTTCGAGCGCACGATCACGATGCACAAGGACAGCACGAACCACATCGGCTTCGTCGTGAAGAACGGCAAGATCACGGCGATCACGAAGGACTCGTCCGCGGCGCGTAACGGCGTGCTCACCGAGCACAACCTGCTCGAGGTGAACGGCCAGAATGTCGTCGGCATGAAGGACAAGGAGATCTCGCGCGCGATCGACGTGGGAGAGCGCTCCGTCACCATAACGATCATGCCCAGCTTCCTCTACGAGCACATGATGAAGTGCATTAGCTCAAGCCTCGTGTCGAAGGTGATGGATCACTCCATACCGGACGTGTGAGCGACGCGGCGGCGGCGGCGGCGACGATGGCGACGGCGAAGACAGTGGAGACGATGATTGAGGCGTTAAATTCTTGTACATTTATCACTATTTTTTGCATATATTCAAAGCTTTGTCCTACAGAACGTGCATGTTGCTGTTTGTGAGGGGTTGAGATGTTTGGGCGGACGATGCTTGAGAGTGGGATGTGCTATTTTTCGGCATATGTTTCATCCCGTGAAGTGTGATCGTAAATAAATCACAGGTTGCTGGTTTTCAGTGTTGGGCACCGAGTGTGGTGGAGACATGTTAGCCCTAGGATATTGTTAACCCGTCTATCATAACTGTCATTCACTGTTAACAGCTGTTTAAACTTTGTGTTTAAAATTGTATACCAATATTGTCCCGCTTTGTGCTTAGGCGAGAATATGTGATGAATCTTTGAGCTACAGTCCTGAGGTAAATTTGGTGTAATTCTGACATTAGCTTATTGATATCAAATTAAGCTTACTACGTGATTCTTGTGCATAAATATGTTATTGCCATTGCGTAATCTTGCCATCCACACATAACTGTGTAACGGAGCATATATGTATTTGCGATGTTGATAGGCAGAATGAAGGCTCTAGGCACACCTTGTGAACTTTGGACGGCACTCGATCACGTCGAGTGCACGTTACTCATGCACTGATCAGTTCCGTATTGCTTCCGGTTATTATGCATGGCGGCCACGCTTTATTATTAGTTATTTTTAATTGAGTAATTATATGCAGGCTTGTAGTGCTTTCTTTTCTAGAATTTTATTCCCCATCAACTCTATTGTATTACGCAGGGATATAGAGGAGCCTGTATGACAGTCCAATGTTTTCCAATCAGTATATTTGATGTTTACTATTTTTGTATGAAATGCACGTGTCTTTTTTCTCTGAGGCTCAGTCAGTTTTTGTCAGTTGATGAGTGGATACATGCACTCAGTAAAATTGTTTTGTTGTATAATGTGCAGACCTATATCAGTAAATATCTATCATATGTGTAATATATAGATGAATATAATAGACTATCAAAGTACCTAATTGGTTATAGTTGCGTAGTTTATATTGAAAGCCCGGCAGTAAATAAGGTTGTTAAGGATATAGACAAATTCGTGTGTTTGCATTGTCCCCTTGTTTCTGTTCTGACACAAATTGAAGAGAGATGGCATATTGTTAGAACAACTACTTACTTGGCAAGCGGCATGGCGTGTCATTGAAGGTACATTCTGCGTCCGGCTCCACAACTCTTCCTCCTGCCCACGTGATACGCTCAGCGTGCGAGGCCACAGTGTGCGCCCCCTCGAGTCCAGTTACCATGACGACCGTCCGAAATGTCTCGGTGCTTGGGTCATAGTTGATCAACACGTAATGAAATTCCACGTCGCCGTTGGCATCCGTGTTCGTGTCCGACACAAAGCCATGGAAATGCAAGTTCCTCATATTTATGGAGATTTTGGCGAGCGTAAGGTTTTCGAAATGGTCGTGCGCCTCCTCCTCTTCCTGCTCCTTTCCCTCATCGTGCTGCTGCCTCTGCTGGTCCGCTGCTCTCTGAGCGTGCAACTCTTGCTGTTCCTCTTGCAGCGTTCTGTTGACAGCATAACCTAGCAACGTCACAGCGTCGTAGAGGGGTCCTGCGAAACCTGCCAACTGCAACAGGATAGTAAACGTCAGTTCTATAGTAGAATCGCTCTAGATCACCCGAGAAGGTCATCGGTGTGAAGCCAGTACTATCATATCCCCCTTCCCCCGGGGGCACTCGCCTCGGAACTTGGAATGGGGTGCCTCGGGGACCTTGAAAACCTGACCCTGTCGCAAACCGCTTTGCGCCCTAAAATACACCCTGTCCCAATATACTGCACTAAAAATTATACCCTGTTGCAATATTGCACATTTCGGTTATGTCCTGTCCTGTCAATGTATACACATCACGATGGGCAGCATCTGATGACTGAGACTGACTGATAGAAGGTGGATGATGCGAAATACTCTGGCTGTGATTTAGCGTCTATCTATCTATCCATCTATCTATCTATCTATCTATCTATCCATCTATCTATCTATCCATCTATCTATCTATCTAGAATGAAAATATTATAAGATCAGATGAATGGATTGGAAGGATAGATCGGATAATATAGACTCGGATTAATGAGAGAATAGAGTCACGACTAAAGTAAGACTAGCATAGACTGATGGATGGACAGGAGTGGCATGTGATAGATAGCACATAGATAGATAGGAGGTGAGAATAGTATAGAGAGATGATGGATGGAGGATAGATGATAGTAGATACGATATGATGGGAGTAGATAGATGGGATAGCGATAGATTAGACTAGATATGTGGACTAGAAGATAATGGAATGAAGGATAGATGGATAGATAGATGGACCGTAGATAATAGATAGATACGATAGATGGATGGATTGGAAGGAACTACGATGGATAGATTAGATGGATCGAACCAGTAAGACTAGACCTGGCTAGAATCACACTGATGGAGCTCACCCCGATGGGATGAGGATGGGATGGATAGATGATAGGATAGATGGCGATAGATAGATATACTAGACTGGA